AAGAAATACAAATGTGCTATAGATTGGGCCAAAGATGAGTTAAAAATTCCTTTTAATGGGAAGGATCATATTATTCCTGTAACTATGCACAATGTCAAGAATAATCTTGAAGTAAATTGCACTACCGCATCTCAGAATGATAAGTCTTTGGTATCCGATCAAATTTCTCAAGAGGTCGATAGTAATGAGGATGGCAGTAATATATCATTTAATGAGTGGTGTGCTCCTGCGGGTTTTGGCTCAGATTCTGACGATTTGACTTTAAAAAAAAACGCATGAGCTATGAGGAATTAGAAAAATCGCTATATACTACTCTCAAGTCTAAGGCTGAAATAAATGATCTTTGTGAAAAGTTGCAAATGCGTTATGAAAAGCTACTCGAATGTATCTCCTCTAGAGATGATAGCATAAATAAAGAAAAGATAGACTAATTGGTAGCTAATAGGCGAGTTATATTTGCTATATTTTTCTCATCTCTTCTGGCCTCTTTTTCATATAATGCACCCAGATCCTCACTACTTATTTTTTCTGTCTTATTAAATGTGGATACTTCTATATTAGAATTATTACTAGGTATTGGATCGGATATGCGAGCAGATTTAGACCGAGATTTGGAACTTTTCTTTTTTATTTCTGTATTGAGAGGAGTGGTAAATTCCAGATGTAAGTTCGAAGAACCATGATTTGGAGAATCGCCTAATGACTTGCTTTGCAATAAAACTTCGCTTTTGGCCTGATTAGAATATTCAGGTAATATTTCAGTAGAAATGGTATTTTGTATTATTTGTTGCTGACGTTCTCGCCCTTCCCATATATCATCTATTCGATGTTCATTAATATGGAAATCTCTCACAATCCTATACTTAGGTACCTTATCTTTAAGTGATCTAATTGTTTCTATCTGCTCAGAAGTTAGATATGTAGATTTTCTGCGATAATATAATTTTAGAAATGGCATATTCATGTTTTGGTTTTTTACCAAATATTTAAAATGATATTTAATATTTTAGAATAATAAAAAATGATATCTATCATTATAGAACAATAAAAAATAATATATATTATTATAGATGAATGAGAAATATTAACGTGAGCAAGTCTTTGGTTAATAAAAGTACTATAAAAATAATTACTATATAACCTAATTCAATAATATCTAATATATTTTTTTAATAGATTAGGATATCTAACATTAAATATCGTTAGATAATAATAGAAATTATTAACGAAATTAGTTTTATTAACATCTGTATATTATCTATTATTTAGCGGAGCAAATGCAAGGTGCTAATATGGCTAATGTATATACATTACAAAATATTAAAGGCCATTGACTTGGTAGTATACGTGAAGAGGAGCTAGAAAAAAAACTACATGATTCTATCAAATCCAAAGCTGAAATTAATAAGCTTAGTGAGAAATTGCAGGATAAATACATAAAGCAAATGAAGGCGTTTGATCGAGAAAGAAAGGGATGGAATCGGGATTCATTACGAAATAATACTGAAATTCAAAAGTTACGCACTCATGCTTTGCAGGTTATTAATGAGCATAAGCAACTACAAAATGAAAATACTAATCTTATTTCTCATAATGCACAAAAGGATATTTCTCTTGCTGAATCCAAGGCTGAGAATATTACAAAATCCAAGAAAATTAGATCACTTGAATCTATGATCAAGATATTGGAAGGTAAGTTGTCTTCGGCCCAGAAAGATGTGATTTCGATCCAGAAAGATTCATCAAAAAAAGAATCTGAGATATTGTCTCTCAAATCTAAAATAGCCGAATTAGAGCGGAGCTCATGCCAAGGCATAGAAAATATAAAGAGTGAATTAGAATCGAAAGCTAATGAGCTTGAGTGTCTGAAATCAGAGGGTATATCGAAACCCATAGTTGGTGGAGATGACGGAAAAAATATTACTAAGTCTGATAATATATCTTTGGGTAGTACTGATCTCAGTAAATATTTTGTATGCAGAAAAAATATGGATCAAGCTGGAAAAATTGATACTATTATACCGGATTACACAGATGATGAAAGTACTCCTATACCCAAATCTCCGAGAGTAAATATTGAGATTATTCCCAAGGTAAGTGATGAAATCGATATTAGCAAAACTAATAAAGATATATTCCCAACCCAGGAGATAAAAAACGTGGCCCCGTACCTTGCACAACAGGAAAATTATGGGCAGAGCCCAGTGTCTTTGACACATACTCCCTCTTTGATATTCAACAAATGCCCCATAGGGCCTGAATCGAATCCCCAGATGAGACCTAGTCTCGAGGCTTTGCCTCTTCCCATTGTGGCAAGTACCTTAATGTCACCTTTATCAGCATATATTTGTCTTATTCTATTAATTATCGCAGTTATGTGGTTCGTGGTATTGAGACGTACATGGAATATAAGTAAAAAACATGATCGGTTACTGGATACGTGGATCGGATAACTGAGACTATCTATTTGAACTTCAATATTATTCATGTACGAAAAAAAAATATTATTAATAATATATAAGTATCTTAGTAGGGTGTGGAAATATATTATATAAAAATGGCAGAAGACTACACCTTGACCTACCATTTAACGATATGTTTTTGGATAGGTAACATCAGATTTATTCATAGTCTGCGGAGCATGACTAAATAGCATTCACGCAATTATTTTTTTTTCATCACTTGTTTTATATCAGGTTTTCAAACATTTAATCGAAGTTTATCATAGTACCTTCTAATATGCAATAGGCATCGACCAGAAGTTGAAAAGGTCAATTTACCACATACTTTACATGGCATGCTTCTTGTAGTTTTCCAATGACTACATTCCTCAGGTATTGGACTGCTTCCTCTACAAATTTCACCGGGCTCATGGCCGAATAGACAAGTACAATCATCAGACATTTTTTATTATATTAAAATACAAATCTTCAGATAACCAAAATTACTGGAAAAAAGAGCGCGAAAGTATGAATGA